GATGTTCGTTGGAGGACAGAGAAAAATTATCTGGAGTGTTATCATGATTTATTGTTATAACATTTATTCTTAGACCTTGTGTATAATAACCTTATTGTTGGTTACATATTGGCGTAAGAATAAAGGATTCTCGAGTCGCCAATCAGTGTTCTGGCTTTTTCGCGTTGGTTATTACAAATTGTTTCTGGAAGTCTTCGATGGGCAGCATGGAGTCCAGCGTAGCAAGAGCTGGGCATTAACGGATTGACGGTTTCTGACAGCTGCATTGGCTCCGTCCGACTTTCCTGGTGCCAGACAGGTCTTCTTTGAGCAAGGGTTATCTGGAACATTTCTGGATTGTTTCGTCAAGTTCAATGATGCCTGGGACAAAGAAGAGACAAAGCACCTTGGAAGCAGATAGGAAACTAAGTAATGGAGAGTTGCTTCTAAATTGTAATGATACGTATCATACTCAGCATTATGAGTCTGTTGCTCATGGTTCGCCGTATCCGGATACTAAGGGCTTGAATTAAACTAAATTTCAAACTCATAGTTTCGACGAAACGCAGCTGAATATCCACAGTTTGTAAAGGAGTTTGAAGTCATGTTGAGTAGTTTTTTATTAAATGATGAAGTGAAGTTGATGTATTTGTTGAAGTATTGCACTGGAGTTGCTTCAAGAGCTATACAGTTATGTAAGTTCATGCCCCCTAGCGAAGGATACTCTGAGGCCATGAGTATACTGCGTCAAAGATTCGGAAGAACTTCGATGATTTTAGGGAAGTTATTCGAGGCTGTTAAAGGTAATGTTAGTCAATTACAAGATGACTCCAAGGCACTCTCTGAGCTTTTGGATAATCTGTCGACTTACAAGAACGCATTGATTTCGATGAATTGCATGAGCGATCTGAGCTCAAGTTGCGTCCTAGAGGTAGTAGCAAGACGCCTACCTACTCGACTGCAAAGGAATTGGGTGAAGATAAGCTCCCGTATGGAGGATGAAGGCATTGAGCCAAAGTTTGATGATATCCTGAAACTGGTAAAAGATAGTGTCAATCAATCGATGAGCAAGTTTGCCAGTATATTACACCTCACCCCTAGGATAGAGCAGTCTGAGGGCAAAACGCAGTCATTGATAACGAAAGGGTCTCAGACAGGTGGATATCGAGAAGGCTCTATGGTGTTTAGTAATGCATATAGACTTAGTGAGTGTAAGAGCTTTCGTAGTACATCCCCAACAGACAAGTTGCAAGCTGCAAGACAAACACGGTTGTGTATCACACGTTTGCAAGAGTTTACAAATGATGAAGTCGACCAGATAGATGACGGTAAAGTGGATATTCGTGATAATGATCATGATAGTGCACTTTTGTCTTCGGTTGATCATAATGAGATGAGGGGAATGCCTAGTACTGCTGAGCTGAACAGAGGCTCTGTACAACTTGAACGTGAAGTAGAATTAAGAGCAGATGCGGTAATAGAAGGTATGGATACTCATGAGACCGTCAGTGTAATTGATCAGTGTGTAGCCCACCTATCATCGGATTCAAATGCTACACTGGAGCTAATAATAAAAGACAGAAGTGGCGGTAATCCTACGGTTAGACAACCTACTAATAGCCGAACAGCAACAGCTTCTGATGCACTGCTGAGTTCATCAACTTGTGTCGCTCAATAGTCGTCTGCGTTGTCATCCAAAATGAAAAGGACGTCCATGAACTCACGTGTCTTATGCTATGACTATTCTAGTATCAGTCCGTTTGAAAGGACGAAAGTCAATGGTCGGTTTGGGGAGGATGAGCCAACTGTGTACGAGAGGGTAACTGTTAAACTGACTTGCACGGATAAAGGCCTGTCATGTTTCAAATTACTTTCTGAATGATATCAACTTTGGTGTAAATTACTCTGTGCCTACGCTTGGTTGGTCTGACACCTCGTGTGTTTGTTAGTCATGCATGTTCCATGATACAATGACATGGGCGTGTCACCGTTCAGAGTTGAGGATATAGATGATGGAAGGAGGCCAGCAAATGAACTCAGAGACAATTTTCCAACCTCGGGCGCCAACCTGAGAAGGAATGTAGGCGTACTGCTGTAAGTCCTACAGTTCTTCAAGGGTAGCTCGTCAGGCCAGAATCCACAACATTTGATGTATCGATTGTACATATGTTTGTGTCAAATAATTTTGTGGGTTCCGAATAATGTGATTGTCGGTTAATCTTGTTTGTGTCCGGACATTCTTCAACTTACAATTGTCAACCTGCGAGGGGTTGCAGGCGTACTGGTGTAAGTCCTGCAATTCTTCAAAGGGATTCCATCGAGACATGATCTGCGAGTTTATGTGAACTGTTTGTATATATGTGTGGTGTGTCATATCAACTGGTGGTGTTTGGGATTCATTGTGTTTACTTGTTGTTTTCGTACCTTGTTGTCATTGCATAATTTTCTTAAATTTTTCGTCGTGATTACTTCTCAAGTTGTTTCTTGTCTTCTACACCCGTGAATGAATTGATTGGTGTTAAAGAGAGCAGATGGGTAGTATAGGCCTTGGAGGTTATTGCTGGGAATGACATGCACACGGAGATAAGCATTAGCTGTAGAATCAATGATTGAGAATGAATGTTTCTATTTATGCTGTGGTCCCACACGCCGGGGAGCGAGAGTGTAGACGACTGAGGCTCGCATGCGTCACCGTTACTAGAACTGAGGCAGAATGAGTGACAAGCGATTGCAGTGGTAATTGGTAGTGAATAGATAAGGGGCTGTGCGAAGAGTATCCTGAGGTGCTGTTATGGTCACGTTGCTTTCTGCAAGAGTCATTCTAGCAAGTGGCGATTGTGTTGCAAGATTTTTTTCTATTTTTGATTACAGCTTGATCCCACACTGTATTTTTGGTACAAGTATGGAATTTTCAGCACGGATATCGGTAGCCCAAATTTTGCAGGCCGACCATAGATATCAGGTGTGCGTCGCCAGGGGATCGAACCTCGGACCATGTACATGGTCAGGGAGAGTCCTAACCACTGTGCCACCGACGCACAGATGTCAAGAGGATGCTTTTAACTAGAAGGCGTAGGCCGTCGTCGACGTGTGGGGTTGTGCTGTGAGTATGCCTGTGGTGTGTTGGCTTTTCTGTTTGTTTTCCATTTCAGCTCTGTCCGTGTGACCCAGGTTCTCGCACTGGCATCCAAATCAACGCGTATTGGTCGTGATGGAAGAAAAAGATGGATCATTTTTTTGCCGGGGAGTGTCAATGTAGTTGAAGATTGAACGATCAATTCGAAAATAGATATAGGCAGTTTTTATTGGCTGTTGGCTAGCTGACTTTCTATTGGTCTAAAATATAAATTAAAGCGCCAATCCCTTTATTTTGACACGGAAATTTACAGTCATTAGAATTTCGGTTTTACGTTACCACTGTATAATGGCGTGTTGATTTTTTTGGTGTGAGTGTCGTGTGACAGTCACACGCTATTTGGATGCATTGTTGATGTTTAAAGTTTATTGAGATGTATGAGAATGTCCAGAAAGTGAATATAAATCAACAATAATTTTGATGCATTTATTTTAAGTCCAAAATAGGATGTATGCAATTTTGGTTATTAGGTGAATATAATTCAACTACCATTTCTATAAATTTAATGTATCCTGAATTATTACATGTAGATGGCTTCTGCAAAATGAGAATAAATAAAAAAGTAAAAACTAAAAAAATAATGAAAAAAGAAATAGAAGTTGAAAATTGCCTAGAGCCGAAGTTTAAACGCAAACCCCCGAATGAAAGTAAATGGTATGAGTCCGCTACTTCAGAAGGACACCGAACTGTATACTTCAGAAAAACATATATTACTAGGCCCTCGCTTTTCTTTTACATAGCTCACGCACTCTGACTTTTGTGTTTAATTCCTTTTAAACCTCGTAAGTAGGTGAAATTATCACCTGTCTTTCACTTTAAACTAATTGTTCGCAGAAAAGACTGTAAAATATCGGGAAAATAATATTTCTTGAAAAAAACAATAAAAAACGATGAACCCCATGCCTGTTATATATTTTGAATTATTAACACCTTTTATATACTTCTGAACCTGTCTGCTGGTTTTCTTGTGTCTTCTTCTCTTTTCGAACATACTGCTTTCAACGAAGATACAGCGCTGCAATTCTCTACTTATTAGTGATATTGCTAGCTCATCTGGTGAATAACGGGATCACCGATATTATGAAATCTGCTAACAAGTTCAAGGTGGGTCTCATAAACAACTGGAAATGTCACAAATATGGTGTACTTACAGGTGAATTTAATGTTAAATAGACCTTGAAACACTTTATGAATCATTTACTGATAAGTATTGTTTATTCTGCATCTCCTATGTATCACGTCAGTACCTGTACAGAAATGCTACTTACCTTACTCAACTAACGCAATCATTTATGATTCCCGCGTGAAATAGACACGTATTTTTTTCAATCACCGTTTAGATTTGACTCTATATCTATTTCCTTATTTGTACACTTCATTTTAAATGTTTCTCTCACATTTACCAGTTTTCAACTTATTTATAGATTAACAAATCATATTATATATTCTATAAGTTTTGATAAGTGTACGTATGTTCATGTCTGTAAAAATGGCTGGTTTCTGTTCCAGAAATAAAATTATTATTATTATTAAATATGTATGTAGTAACTAATCTACTTTTTTAAGTTGTCACTTCAATGATTTGTGGGAATTATGCGTACTACGTCAGAATAAATGAAGTAAATTGACAAGGACATGGCCAGTGGTATATAAGCACTGAAATATATACTAGTGTTTATTTACTTGAAATCATAGTGTTGTGCACGTTAGGAATTGTTAAAACGATTAAATGATGTTGCAAAGTACTCCTACTGCGTCTACTTCAAGAAATATGCCATTTTTATTGTGTGATGTAACAGCTATATTCAAAAGGATAATGTTGTGTTGTATATTTTATACATGGACACAATTTAAGGAAGCTTTAGACACATTTATGAAGGTACTAAGTTGTTCATTATTTCTTTGAAAGTAATCCAATACATCCTATCGTGTTGATTCAAGTAAAAAAGATCCATCCGGTGCTGATGACTACAAGTTTGTGAAGTTTAAATGCACTTTTGGAAGTCATCGTGCTCCCCGAGGTGCTGGCTTTAGGAACAGAGGGTAAGTTGGCTGCGTGTGCAAATTTTAAAAATTTTAAGGTTCAAAAGTACATCATATCAGTCAATAATTCTAGTCCAGCGGAAATCCAACGTATACATGATAACCAAGTACAAAACTGTGCATAACCATCCCTGCACAGCAAGTTTCATGTCCACCGATGTATCTAGACGTCGGTTATCATCACAAGAAATGGCAATTATCCAACCGTTCATTGAAAGGAATACTGATGTCCATGAAATCATGGATCTAGCACATGAGAAGTTCGGAAAAGCGCTCCTGTATAACGATATTAAAAACATGCGGGCTAAGATAAATAAACGTAAGTCCTATCAAAATAAATGGTGCAGTAGAATAGAAATTGGTTGTTTGGAAGAGCTGCTTCATCGACTGAGGCAGACAGGTCCAGTTAAAGTTTTGCAGGACAACGCAGGCTTTGTATCTAAAATCATTTTTGCTCGTAATGATATGATAGACGTGTATCATAAGTTTCCAGAAGTAGTTGGAATCGATTGTACTTACAAAACGAATAAGATGGGGTAAGTTTCAGTACAACAAGGTATAATTCCTTTTCCAAATTTGTTACAGATGGCCTTTATATCAGTTTGTTGTGACTGATGGATTCGGAAGAGGAAGGACTGTTTTGTTTGCTCTTACTAGGAGAGAAACGTTTGCAGATATCAAGGAGATATTGCAAACGTTTAAGAGATTTATGGTGGATACATCGAAAACATTAACATTCACTGTCGACTGTGCAACTGCACAGATGAAAGCCCTAAAGGAGGAATTCCCTAGTTGCAATATTGTTTTGTGTCTTTTCCATGTATGCCAGGCATTCAGAAGGAAGGTAAGTTACATTCCCATTAACTGACATAGGGAAAACAGTTCCCAAACCAGCTTGTTAAAAAGTGGTTGTATCGAATGGCGCACACGCGCAGTTATGACAGGTAGGTTAGCAAATCAGAGTATATTGCCAAAGGTTTTGGCGTTACCTAAACCTCATAAGTATTGTAGACGCTGAGGCTGGTGCTTACATTAGAAGGTACTGGCTAAGAACACGCAAATATTGGGCTGCATCGTGCAACAGGTTCACCATCAGCATGGGGAACAATACTAACAACAGAGTTGAGAATGCTCATAGGCAGTTGAAAAGATATCCAATGGAACTGACGCTATGGAAAATATGGAGGTGGATCGACCACACAACCATGCGTAAAATACGTCAGGGCCAGTGGATGCTTGCTAAATACTACAATTACGATGTAAGTTCGAAGATAATTTACGATTTATCCTAGGTACCTAATTCCCTGAAGTCTCATTTACGGAGTCTCACACCGTTTGCTGCCCAGAAAGTTGTGTTAGATTTACAAAGGCGTTCCTTCTTCTTCCATTCAATATCTTCTACCTCAGTTGTTTACGCAGAAGGTGGTCACATATTCTTCGTAAACAGGAACGAGGCGAAATGCACATGTTGGACATACTGCGCATACAATTTGCCTTGTGCACATGTCGTTGAGGCGTTCTTGAACTCATATCTAAATTGTGGTATGTTCCATTTCTTTAAATGTTACTCTTAGATATTCTGAGGAATAGTGAGAGGTGGACATGACTATATAACACAACGGACAACATTCCGAGGGCCATCCGGTTAATACCGGAACCAAACAACGCGTTTCGAAATGCTTATGAACGTTTAAGATATCGTCTCAACAGTCTGAACCGAAGAAATCCGGATGCTGCACTGCGGGAAATAGCGGAGTTTACCAGAAGGTTGGACAGTTTGCTAGCAAATGAACCGCAAACAACTTTAAGATTACGACGTGCCCCTGTTAATCGATTATTTTTGTGAAAATATTTGTATTACCTTTTTATTTCCATTTGTATTCAGAATATAAACATGTATGTATAAACTGCAGTTACACTTCCTTTCCTTTCAAAAGGCTAAGACCGACAGTTTAAAGAATACTTTGGTTGATTGTTTCGTTAAGAGAGCGCTTTGAAAGTCACTTAGAAATTAAAACGATCTGTGCCTTATTTACTACGTTTTTCAGCCGAGCATTTGCGGTTCATAGCATATCCTGAATAACGGTGATTAATACGATTTATCACTTAGACCGCAACACCACCAAGCCTACTATATTCATAAACTTATTCTAACCTATTCATCGATAAGGCCTTTTTATGGTAACTGAAGCCCTTATTTACCCACTATTTTCTCAAATAACGCTGGTCATGCTTACAATGATACCTAGGTGCTGAATTGAGTCTTTTAGTTCTGAAATAACGCTACTCCAAGGTTAATGTGACCTGTGAGGGATGGAACAGAGCGGATAAGCAAACCCAGTCGGTTCCATTTACTTTCAATCATGATAAGAAACCAGCTCTTAGTTTTAATTTCGAACAATGGCAGAACGTTTAGGCAGTTTACTTATTGAATAAGGTTACTATATTAGAAAAGTATACCTTATTTGGCTGAATCACTGCAGGTTCACCATAACCCTTGACTACCAACATAAAAACTGGGAAATTCAAGCTAAAAATCACCTTAATAGTAGTATCCAGTGACATAAACTGATCTACACACTGCAAAATGGTAAAAACATGCAAAAAACCTTTAAAATTCAATGGAAATCGAATTCACGAAGACATATAACCGGCCGACGCAGGAACCCATCATGACCTTGAAACTGGCTGTAGCCTCTTTCAACAATACATGTTTGTTCGCTCACACCTAACTTCCCCATATTTTCGCGGAGCCATCCATCCAGCAGTCATCGTCTCATCGTTCGATGTTCGTTGGGGGACAGAGAAAAATTATCTGGAGTGTTATCATGATTTATTGTTATAACATTTATTCTTAGACCTTGTGTATAATAACCTTATTGTTGGTTACATATTGGCGTAAGAATAAAGGATTCTCGAGTCGCCAATCAGTGTTCTGGCTTTTTCGCGTTGGTTATTACAAATTGTTTCTGGAAGTCTTCGATGGGCAGCATGGAGTCCAGCGTAGTAGCAGCCGGACACTGACAGTTTTTGAGAGTTGGCTGACATATGCAGATAAACATTATTCCGTATTCTTTAGGTGTACGTACTCTCAATAAATATTTTATTTACTCTTCCTCAAATGCCATGCTTCCCAGCATCACTAGTCTTAATAATAGCCGCTTTCCAGGTTTTATCACAAATGATTTTCAAAAGTGCTTCAAGTCTCTGAACCCTTCCCAGAGCATAGGTTCAGATTATGCAACTATTAATACTTTTTTTAATGTTCTCATATTCTGTGTCACCCTCTCACTGATCTATTTAACAAATCTTTTTCCGGTAATATTGTGCCGGCCGTTTGTACGGACATTGAAGTTGTACCTATACCTAAATCATCTACTAGAGCATGTGTCAAATTTAGACCCATTGCTTTTACCTCTCCTTTTTTGAAAACTATGGAGAAATTACTTTTACTTAGTCTTGTACTTTCGCTTAAATCCTTTAATGACCCTAAACAGTTTGCCTATAAGCACAGTAGAAGCCCTTTAGATGCAGCTGCCGTCTTATATTATTACATTGCTTCCAGTCTAGACTAAGCGGCCAAATTCGTTAGTTGTGCCCTCCTAGACTGTACATCTGCTTTTGACTCGGTTCTTAGGGACATCTCAATAAATAAACTTACCGCTAGTTCAACAGTGTTAGGCTGTTAACTGGTTACATTCTTATTTCTCAGAAAGAAAGCAGTACACCGTGTATAAAGGGAAGTCTTCCACTTCATTGCCTACTGAAGCTGGTGTCCCCCAAGGACCTACGCTTTCTCCTTTCCTTTTTTCTTTCTTTTTACATGACTTGTCCCACTTTGATGAAATAAACTTTGTGAAGTACGCCCATGATTTAACAGTTTCAATGGCTGTGACTTCACAGATAGATTCTACCAAAATAAATAGCTTTCTGTCGGGAGTCAGTAAATGGTCTGAGTATAACTGTCTTAAACCGAATCCTTCTAAATGTCAAACTGCTAATTTCGGCTTAAGATGTAAAAGACAGTTAAAAGAAGTCGCCGATTCTCATGACAGTTGTAAGATTGACGACAATGATATGGGAATCAAATCAGAAATTTAGTATCTTGGACTCATTCTCTCTTCTGATCTCTCTTGGTCTTCCCATGTCTTAGCAATCTCCAGTAAAATATTCCGCCTGACATTTTACATTAAGAAGTTAAGACACTCGGGTATAACTCAACCCCTCATCCTACAGTTCGTAAACTCTTGCATCCTACCTATTCTTCTTTATTGCTCACCCTTATTCTTTCCTGGTTTGCTTAAAAGGACTATGTCACAATTCGTAGAATTCTGAAGACTGTCAGTAGGATGAGTGGAGTCCCAGTGGACCACATAGTTAACGTCGTTGTCCACAGGCACCTGACTCCGTGCAATAAATTTGCCAGAGAGATCTTGTCTGACTTGTAGCATCCACTTTACCCTCAGCTTTCACCTTGCATCTCCTCAGGTAGAACAAGAAGTAACTTCAGAAAACTGTATGCTCGCAAGTCCAAGTATAGAAATTCTACGATACTATACTTGGCACGTATTTTATGCGATGAAAATAGTGTCAGGCATGAATTAACTAAACTTTTTTCATCTAGTAAATAAACAGTTTTTCTTTTATTATTTCTGTTATATTTATGGTCTGTTGCTTCTTTGTTTTACTCTCATAATTGCAAACTCCAAATTATCTCTATGACTGCTGCAACCTTTGTTTTCCCCTCACCATATCATGTAAACAGAACCTTATATTCAATACTTTTAAACATGCTAGGATTTCTATACCACATCAACAATACTGTGTGAAACAAGCCCACGCCAATTTTCACTTGTATTATTATTACCTCAGCTGTTATTACGATTGTTATTTCCATTTTATATGCTGCATGTTTTTGACATAACCTCGCCTGGATTAATAGCTTGCTGGTTTTTCAGCCTCACCTAGACTGCTAGCTTTCTAGTTTTCTAGCCGGTCCGAGCTCAGATAAAGAGGGAGTGTTGGGGCTTAGTGCTAGCAGTTCCACCCCCAAAAATTTACCAAACCGCTTCAGAATCTTCACTGCACCAATATATTAAAAATTCCAAAAATATAAACAGTAACCTTATTTTTCGCTGGAATCGGGGAAGTGAAATGACGCAGGCTGGTGAAAGCCTTCGGGAAGCCAGTCAGCCGATTTGCCTTCTTTCGATGAAAGCAAAAATAAGGATGGGGACATGGAATGTTCGTACAATGTACGAAACTGGAAAGGCTGCCCAGGTAACCGCGGAAATGAGGAGATATAGAATAGAAGTGTAGGGAATCTTCGAGAGCAGATGGAACGGATGTGGCACATGCCAACTACCAACTGTAGAGACAATAATATATCCCAGTCGCCCACAGGACAGTCACAAGCACATCAAGGGAGTGGCCATCATGATGTCACCTACAGAAGCCAAAGCTCTCATGCAGTGGGAACCAATCTCCTCCAGGATAATGACAGCCAGGTTCAACTCGAAAGGAAGGAAGGTTACAATCATTCAATGCTATGCGCCTACAAACGTCTCAGGACAAGAGAAGAAGGAGACGTTCTACAGACAACTACAAGCAACAATGGACAACGTCCCAAATGGCGATATCAAAATCCTGATGGGCGACATGAATGCGAAGCTAGGAGGAGACAGCACAGGAAGAGAACTGACCATGGGTCGAGAGGCCCTCGGTGAAATGAACGACAATGGTGAACTCCTCTCAGACTTCTGCGCCTTCAATGATTTGGTGAT